GGTAAACATATTGGATTAGACTTAAAACAACCCATGTATGTTGGAGGTGTTCCTGATTCTGAAACTTTGCCTGAAGGTGTTGATAAAGAAGGATTTGTAGGTAAGACTGAAGCCTTAATTCTTTGTGAGGTCTTTATATTGTACTAAGTACCTATTAGAGATTTGACTCCGCTTCAGAGAGGAGTTATATCCACTTACAACTCCACAACTCCGATAACTTTCAAACATAATATAAGGTTGTCAATATCTCCCTTCCGCCTTTTTGTATTATAAACTCAAGAGCAAAAAAGCGGAAGGGAGATATTTGACAACCTAATACTTGACACAATGTGTTTTCTAGTGTATTGTTAACATATCTAAGGATTCATTACTATTTACTTTGGAAATAGTTTAAAAATAGTTCAAACATTTTTGTTCATTTTATTATAATAATTACTATTTTATTCATTTCAATATGCATACAAATCTTAAATTGACAAAAAACTTGGGAATCAAAATCAATTTTGTAGTTAGTTTTGAAGAGAAAATATAGAATTCCTTGAATATGTTTAATTTCATATGAAAACTAGCTGACCCGGCGAACGTTGTTTTGCTAAGTTAGGTACATTCTAGGGTTTATACAAAAACCGACATTTCAGAAAACCGCTCTTCGAATTTTAATTTTACTAAAAAACCGGTTTCGAACCGGTTTTCGAATTTTATATAGAAAATAATTTTTTGCTCAAATATTCTGTAATTTATCCGCAAATTTAGTGTGATTTAGAGCAGTATTTGACTGAATTTATTTATTGTTCAATTTCATTGATAGTAAACAAAACTATTTTAATTTTAATTAATAGAACTAAAAAATAATAGTTTATCTTCATTAAATAACTTTGAAAATAATTATTCGTTATTCATGCATCATTTTCACATATAAGAATGAAAATATTTTTATGATAGTGAAAGGAAATTTTTCGAATAAATAAAAATAATACATTTTTAAATTTAAAAAAATTCATTAAATAAAAAAAATAAAAAATATTAGATACATGTTGATATATACTTGTTATATCAATTTTAGTTTTAAAAACAATTAAGCTAAACTCGGGTATTGTCGGTTCCGAGCAATTCCAATTAATTAATTTTAAACATTCTAGTTGTTTTTTGTTTAATAAAATATGATTTAAAAAAATTGAGAACGTTTATCGAAATGCTAACGTGCGAAAAACGTGTTCTTTGTTTACTCACAAAATTTCCTGAAATAGAAAATTCTCTCATACTTGCGACCAAATTATGCTTAAGGGGCACAACTAGTGTAACCGCCTAAAAAAAGGTGATTTTTAGGGATTTATATTAAAAAAAACTACTTTATCGATCATTTCAAAATTTAGGAATATATTTATACATGTTTTAAGAATACATAGTAAAATTTTGAAGAAAAACATTAAATATTTTTTAAGTTATCGTCGATCATCAACGGCGCGACAAAAAAAGGCCTTTCACTACTGCAGTGATTCCGGCCTTCTACGTGGATGAAATTTAAAAAAAAAAAATCTCGTTAACTAGATATATTGTCTGTAAAATGAACTACGATAAAAAAAAAATCAAAATTGAATTTGCTGCAGCGATTACTCAAAAACAAATGATCCGATCACTATCAAATTTTTTTTTACACGTTCTATATATCGTTCTCCGTAAAATGAACTATCGAGTTTTTGATCGGATCAAAAATCGAATTTTGGCAGTCCAAAAACGACCAAAATTTTGGGTAAAATTCGACTTTTTTTAAAAAAAAACGCCGTCATTTTGTCAATTTTTGATTTTTTTTTTATCGGAGTTCATTTTACAGGCAATATTATCTAGTTAACGAGATTTTTTTTTTATTTCATCTACGTAGAAGGCCGGAATCACTGCAGCAGTGAAGGGCCTTTTTTTGCGTCGTTGGAGATCGACGATAACTTAAAAAATATTAAATTTTTTTTCTTCAAAAATTTTACTATATATTCTTAAAACATGTATAAATATATTCCTAAAATTTTGAAATGATTGATGAAGTATTTTTTTTAATATAAATTCCCAAAAATCACCTTTTTTTGGGCGGTTACACTAGTTGTAACCCTTAAGCAGCAAAAATATATAGTATTAAATTTTTACATTTACACAATTATATAATTGTCTAAAAGTAATAACGTGCTAATCGTACTACCCGATATAATATTAGGTTGTCAAATATCTCCCTTCCGCTTTTTTGCTATTGGTTTATAATACAAAAAGGCGGAAGGGAGATATTTGACAACCTAATATTAATTCTCGAATGGAAATAGCAGAAGAAAAAATTAGAAAGCAGAAGTATTATTATTTGGTGAAAATATTTTATTATTAATTTTATTATAAATGTTTTGCTTTCATTACAAAATTTACTACATTATTTTTATATAAAATTAATTCAAAAAATCAATTATTTTCTCATCAAAAGGAAATCATTAAATTAAATTTGATTCTCAAGTTTTGCGTTTTTACTTTGGTCAACACTGCTAAAAATACAAGTCACTGAGTCGATCATCTGGTCGACCGAAAAATTATACAATCCGTCATTT